AGACAAAAGCATCACGATTTTTCACAAGTTCATATTGTTTTAGATTTGTTTCTTCTGATAAAAATATTATTAATCCTTTCCCGCCTTACCAGTTAAATATTCGATGTGGTGTAGCGTTGAGTTCAACAAGAGTCTTAAATCTTAATTGATTTATAATATTGTCAGCAGCGTTATCAGCACTTTTTGGTCAAACTTAAGTACTTTGGTGACCAGAATTCAAAATAAGGATTGTTACACAAAATATTTGAAAAATCAACAATGTATGCTTTAAACATTGAGAAAGTCAGATTCTAGTCAAGTCAAAAGTATAAGTTTTTGTGATTGAGAGTAGTTCACCACTGTTCAAAACAAATGAATGACTCATTTAAATGAAATCAATGTTTATTTATACTCCTACTATCGTTTCATTTCAGTACCATTACGTGCAAGTTTCACTGATATTCAACCGAATGCAAAATGGGCACAATCTGGTACCAGGGTAGTTGGAGGATATGGAACCAGTGGAACTGATGACCTCAGCTGCCCATGGGGTTTGTATGTCGATGATGATCAAACGGTTTATGTCGCTGATGGCTGGAATCACCGTATTGTGAAATGGAAATCTGATGAAAAGAATGGACAGGTGGTTGCTGGTGGACATGGAAAAGGGCATGAAACTCGTCAGTTGAGTTGCCCAAAAGATGTGATCGTCGACAGAGAGAGAGATAGTCTCATTATCTGTGATCGACAAAATGAAATAGTAGTTCAATGGCCTCGTCGAAATGGTACTAGTGGAGAAGCTATCATTTCGGATATCGCTTGCGTCGGTTTGACAATGGACGAGAATGGATCTCTTTATGTGGTTGATAATGAAAAACATGAGGTGAGACGATATAAAAGTGATGACACTAAAGGAACATTGGTTGCAGGTGGCAATGGAAAAGGAAATGGTCTCGATCAACTCTCTGATCCTCAATACGTGTTTGTCGATCGAGATCATTCAGTATATGTGTCTGACAGTGAAAATCATCGTGTCATGAAATGGGAAGAAGGTGCAACACAAGGCATTGTCGTAGCCGGTGGTCAAAGAAAAGGACATTGTCTTACACAATTGTCATATCCTGCAGGGATACTTGTCGATCAATTTGGTACTGTTTATGTGGCTGATTCTGGAAATCATCGAATCATTCGTTGGCCAAAAGGAGCAACACAGGGAGATGTCATTGTTGGTGGAAACGGTAAAGGAATATGGTCAGATCAACTCAGTTGGCCCGTAGGTTTGTCATTCGATCGACATGGTAATCTCTATGTCGTCGATCCGGGAAATAATCGAGTACAAAAATTTGAAATCGCATAAACTCAATACGATGATTAA